TTTGTTTCTTCGTAGTACTTATAGATTTACAAGTTATAATTTTCTATCACCAATGAGAAATGAGCAGAGTTTGAAGAACAGAGATGTCTATGATGAACATCTAATTATAGCAAACAAGTCTGGACCTTTACTGCAGATGAACCACATGTCAAGTTCGTAATATTAAAGACTCTTAGTTCATAATATTTAAAACACTTTTAACCTAAAATATTCATATAAAATCTTCAAAAAACGTCCAACTTATAATAGAATAGGCATTTCTTTTAAGAAAATTGCTACAAATTATAATTAAGCCACTATCGAAAAATTTTGCTATACTCGAGATGCGTTCTATTTGTTAAAGCAATTATATTTAAAATAATTTGCATATGTATATAAATTTTGATTATACTTCGTTAAACACACACATGTGAAGCGTATGTTTAATCAAATCGTTATAATTACTTTGTTAAAATTATATTGACTACAAAATGGCCTATGCCTTTTCTAATTTAAAAATGATATATGGCAATTTATAATTAAATAAATTGAGAAGTGACGCATAACATATATAGCCCGATTGCCTCATTATATAACGGTCTTTGCAACATTTGTTTGTAGTGCTTATTCTATACATTTAGCCCATATGATGACGGGATCTAATACTAGTAATTGTCGCAGATCATAATGAAATCGGATTAAAATGAAATGAAGGTTTCTATTTGACCCCCTAAAACCCACCTATACTTGTTTATTATAAAACCTGCTTCTAAACCCTAATCCTAACCCTAAAAAAATGCTAAAAAAAATGCACCCCAAAAATTTGTATTTTTCGGTGGCTTGTCTATTTTACACTATCCCTCGTTTCATTTTAATCTGATTTCATTTTAATCTGCCACAGTAATTACTGAAAAAAGTTAACGTTAGTATCGGTATAAGATCTTTATTCAATATAAAACCCAATATAATCTTGTAATACAAGCGTACTTTTTTCATACCGTAATTGTTCTGATTTCTCAGATCGACAACCTTTACGTTCATTTTGAGTAATATGTCGTTCCAGATTGATACAAGGTTTTATCTTGTATATCCTTACCAAATAATTTCTATGTGACAAATTCGATGTTAAACTGAATCGATCTGGATCATGAGATCAAGAATAAATGTTCAAATATTATTTAACGTGATCGCAGTTCTTAGTCAAGGCAGGTAAAGGCATAACCAAAAAAGGATACACATACAATAATCACGCTGTCCGATAGAGTTCAAGATTTTGTACACAGTTAGCTTGCTGTAAACCATACACTACGTTCCTGGCCAATGTTATGAAAACCAGGATTATTTTCTATTATTTTCTGTAGTTTTTCTGGAATATATTTTATTATTAAAATTTTTTAATTCAAATATTAAATACTTTTTGTAACAAAAATTTATACAATATTTTAAGACCTTTAATTGGAATATAATCAGAATATTACTAAAATATCTAATTAAAATCGGAATATAACGACTAAAAATTTTTTATGGGGAAAATTTCAATAACTTTTAAGACATTTCCGTTTATACAAATATGGCGCAAAACTAAAACAATAATGAACAGAGAGATTCTACGCTGAAGAATTTAGTCAAAGTACTATTACAATAAAAGCACAAAAAAAATGAATTTGCTAGATACATTATTTCTAGTTGAATAATTAATATGCTACTTGCTTTCATAACTTGTAATCTATGATAAATGCTTTTATAACATGTAATTTGAATTATATTTGTTTTGCATAATTCGCTATTTGCTTTTGTAACTCTCAATTTACAAAACTTTCGATAATTTAATTTTGTGACTCGAATTAATTGAATAAAACTTCAATAAATAATTCGAGTCCAGTCACTAACAAAGATTTTATTATTATATTAAAAAAATTGTGAAAATATTTAACAAATATTTAAAGAGTAAACAGCGAACGCAATAAACGCTTGTATTTTTTTTTGCTTTATATGAATAATACGTAATTAATTAAAGTTGCTTTATTAATTTAACTTGTACCATCAATAAGTGACTTAGATCATTCATTGAACGGTAAAATTTCAAAAACGACACATGTTGATTCCAATAAACGACGCACAACATTCGTGTGTGTGTAAGTTTATCTTGTTCTTACCAGTTTTATTCACGGTTCTACCTGTATTATTTATCCGAATAAAAATTGTAGCAAAATTTTCAACTATCAATTTTAATTTACTGTAATATATAATATCGTAGAGTCAAATTTGACTAAAAATGTTATAAATTGTCATAATAAGTTACAACATAAAATGCCATAACAAGTTACAGCATAAAATGCCATAACCTTTACAGGAGAATACACGTTGGAAATCCAGGCTTCCTATTACGACAAGTTCGTGGCATTATGTCTATGCCTCTAGGTCTGATACAACTCAATTTCAAAGCTTGTCATTTATATTTCATATACAACATATTCCCTCCCTCCTGGTTTCGAGCAATTATTTTGCGCAGCTACTTATTAATATCAAATCTAGAACATTTGCTGGTTATAATAATTTGAAAACCACTGTAGTATAAAGATTTCCTTGATGAAGAGATGTATATGTTGTAAATGGAAATTTAAATAAATTCAAATTATTGAAGTTTCAATTAGAATTTTTTAAGTCAATTATTATAAAACGCACCTATTATATGTTTTTATTATGTTTTTTAAAATTTTCTAAGTTTTTATAAGTTTTGTATATAAAATTTTTAACACCAATTTTTTCACGTTAAAGTTAATATTAAGGTTAGGATTAGGGTTTTTGGGGCGTAAACATTTTTACTTAGAACACCTCACATCGATTAATTAGCCAGTTTTTGAGATAATGTGTACAGTACATAGGTGTAAAACACTATAGGTGCGTTTTAGTAAAATCCTTTTTAGAATACATGTCCAAAAGTAAAAAAAAATGATCAATATATCTGGACGTTGGCTTAATCTTTAGGCATTTGTATGGTAAGTACAGTATATTAAATGTAAGGCAATACTATTTGTACCCTATTTTTGCTATTTATTATGTAGAAAACATTTTAGTTAATTTTTACATAATATAAAAATGCAAATAATTGTAGTTTTTAAATCAATGTGATACAGTATTACTGCATTATACATAACAACCACATAAAATGTCCGCGGACACGTGATTTTAAGCCAATCACGACAGGATCAGGTGTAACGTGAAAACAAAACAAACTTCCGCTTGTTTTAAACAATCGACCATAGCTCAAAATTTCGATTGCAAAACCACTTTTTGTCTTAGCAAAAAAAAAAAAATTCTTGCAAAATTTTGCTATATACTCTGCCCTTTCTACTACATTCTACTGCTCACCCTTACGTCAAAAGTTAATTTTTGATCGAAAAACGCGCGTTGACGATCTTCGGTTGCTTTGCCCAATGAAATTTTAGCGCATATCATCACGAAACCGCCTGCGATGTAACAGTTTAATTTCACGTTTTTAGTCATAAAATTATTTATATAAAGGTTATATATTGTTTTGCACTACAACTATGTTATGTAACAATTGGGTATTCATTATCTAATTATCCATTTATCCATTAGATATCCGTAATCCGTTATCCGAAGTATCCGTTCCAAATTTATCGGATATTCGTTTACTATTGATATTCGAATAATTATCGAATATCTGTCGGATTATTCGGATATTCTGATTTGTTTATTCGACATGGATTGTCCAGATAATTCAGATACGGATAAATGGATGACGGTTTTACCCAGATTGGAACTCTAATTGGGTTAAATAATTTTTTTTACATAAGAGGAGGTATAAATAACAAAATGGGAGATGTAAATAGTAAGTTCTTAAATACAGTATATAGGTTCAAATTTTTAAAAATGCTGTTATAGTCAGAGTGATGTGTATTGATATTTAACATATCTATTATGTTTTAATCTAATTGACTTCAAACCAATTTTAGTTAAGATTTGATTTTATTAGTCAGAAACCCAATTAATTTTTTGCAATTTTATAACAAAATTTTTGATAGTTCCTGATCACAATCATCATGGATCATTGTTTATGTATACATGTGACCATACCCCGCACACATTGCACTCGCACAAAATATATTTTACTTTATAAATTTAAATAAAATGAATACTTGATTAAAGTTTTAAAAAATCTCAAATTTTTTATTTAAATTTATTCAAACCTTTGTTTAGCTTATATTACACACAATTTTTATTGATAAATTTTTAGTATAGTTATCTTGGGATTAAAGATAATCACTATACGTAGAAAAATAGGAATTGAATATTTAAAAAACGAAGCAAATATACATATTTTATTACATGTATTTGTTGTCGACATCATTAAACATCTCGACTGATCCGTGATGTTTAATTATATCTATTATACGATATATGGAATTTATTTTTGTGTATTACGTACATTTTTTTAGAAATTATATTTGTGGAATTTTATATTGTGGTTGAATGGTAGAATTTTATATTATGGCAGGTTTGTGGAATTTGACATTTGTTTAAATACTCGAAATTTATAACAATAGGCCTTTATTTGGATATTTCAACTTATATTAAGAAACCTAAAAAATTAAAATTATCGTTAAATTTGGAGATATCCATCACGATGATAGAGGTTTACTACATTTTATTGACCAGTTCCTATTGGATGAATAGAATGCAGTTTTTGATTAGATGAAATAGATTTCATCAAACTTAGAAAGTTTTGATTCGATCAAATTATGGCATGAATAATTAAGTAATGGTAAAGTACGTTGTCCAATCAGAGACAGCATTTATATTAAATTATCAAAATAATTAACATTATAAGATCTTTATTAATAAACACAAAGAGCTATAGATTATGTGATCTTAATAAATAAAAGTCGATACAAAGAGCTATAGATTATACATATGCAATATTAACTTAAATTAAGAAATCCAAAATAATGTAACAAATAATTATGAAAATGTAGATAAATAATTTTCATTTTAATCTACTTGTCTTCTTTACAATCTTTTTCTTTATCTTTAACAATGAAAGTTGTATCAGCTTTGACGCCACAATCCTTATCCTCCAATGTGACGGTGAACTTGGCGGATTTTCCATCCTTAACTTTCACTTTGAACTCGACTTTCTTGTCACCTGCCTTAACAGTCTATTGATTTATATAAAAAAAAAATTATTATAAAAAAAAACTATATACACAAGTACATGCATGTATTATAAAAAAAAACAAACCTTTTTTGTAGGCTTCAAGGTTTTGCCATCACCAGATTTAAATTTAATTTCAGCATCAATTTTATCTGTAATAGTAAAAAAATAAAAGAAACGAATATATTAATTAAAATATAAAAAATAAAATAATAAGATATAATGTATATAACATACCATCTTTTGAAATATTTTTAGTCTAAATTATAAAAATATAACATTTGTTAAAAAAAAGTTTTTAATAAAAGAAATAAGTAAATAAATGTGTGAAAAAAAAAACATACGCTAAAGTTTATAGTGAGAGTAATTTCTTCTTTTTTTTCATTTTCTTTAGCGGTAATCTTTCCAATTTTAATTTCTTTTTTATCATCCTTATGATCAGGTACGGGGCTAGCATGAGAGCATGCAGCAAGGATGAGGCAGAGTGTAAGAACTAAGAAATAAAATCTTTTGTTGAATTGCATTTTGATTTTATAGAAATGTGGTCTTATTGAAAAATTCGTAAACGTAAACTTAAAAGATTCTTTAGAAGTCTGTATGTATGAAACTCCAAAGGAATGAAGAACATGAGAGGAATAAGAAGACTATTTATAAAGGTTTTGAGTCTATATGATCTATATGATCAGGAGATTTTTTTGCCGATTCCTTTTGTGAAATTTCAAAGTTTGAAAATGAAAAGGTAATTGTATTGTTACACGATTTAACATTCATTCATTTTAGCCTTCTTTGTTAATGAAGAAACAATTTGGCGAAGACTATTGACATCACAAATTTTATGCATTCAGCAATGTTTTTAGATTATGCTTATTTTGTAAATTGATTTTAATGATTTTAGAGTACAATCACATACGATATTGTGAATTATCAATTTGTCTAAAAATAAATTATCATTTGGTCTAAAAATAAATTATCAATTTTGACAAATTGGGGCATTTTTAAATTCAATGTTTTTAAAAAAGAACAGTAAACATATCAAAACTGGTAATATTAATTTTCAAATATTTAACGAAAGATTGAAATTATTATTTTTAAATAAATTTTACGAAATTTATTGCAAGCACAGTATTTGTAACAGAAAATTTCAAGAGAAGATTCATAGCGGAATATTCATAATAGAATATTCAAACAAAGATCCATTGATGGAATATTCATAATAGAATACTCATAATACCTCATAACACGGTGATAAAATTTAAACATATCTAGAGATGGGAACCGTCAATCCGTTACATAGGATGTCCGGATTTCCGTTTTTGTTTATCCAACATTGAATCCCATCACTAATAATAACTTAGTATGCGGTTCAGGTATAACAGTAACCAGGCATGTTTATACATAATTTGTGAGTACACGCCGAGCTAGTTCTCGGCTCTATTTCATCAGGATTCACAATGATGTAAAAGTGTTGGATAGAGTATTACTGTATAAACGTAACACTAGTACATTGACCAACTTAGCATAAAGCATGTTAGTTTTAATTTAAGCATGTTAATGTAAGCATATTAGTTGTAAAATTGAATATCAAAAATTAAAGTTTTCATTATTCTTTTCGAATGATTCTAAGTTATTAAATAATGCACAATTCTGTACAGTAAATTCCGTAGAATGACATTGCTAAATTAGGTAAAAATGTGGAGTGATGGGAATTTTCAAGCATTAATTGTCATACCGATACTATCAGGATTTTTTTCAGTTACTGGGGTTTGTACAATGAAGTACGTACGTACGTAAGTACTTTGAAGAACATTATCTCCATCTTTAGCATTATCAATGTAAGTATACACCTAGTGAAAAAGCTTTGAACGTCATCCTACGTCAGATACTGTAACCATATTAAAAATTAATTCGTTATTGTAAATTTACCCAGATTATCATTGTACAATCCATTTGTTATTGTTACATATATCATTGAGAAATTTATCATAAAAGGTATGTTAGACAATGTAACCATGATTTGAAAAAGTATTCAATAAAACAGTTTTGCGAAAAACGTGCGCATTAAAATAATTTCCTAAAAATGAAAAGTTTTTTAAATTGCATTCCGAAATTGGTTACAACATACGATACATACATACTTGTGCATATATTTGTTTATTTCATCTGAATTATGCATTTGAATTATTTATTAATTATAAAGGGAACTTACGCCTCAAATAGGATAACCGGAATTTCTATACGCAATATTATAACTTACCAAAAAGCATAGTAAGACGTTGCTTAATTTACGGCAATTCTGTACAAAGCAGTTTTAGCCATTTTAAGTCATAATGAACTTTATATGACCGAGATGGCCATATGCAAACACTGGTACGTACACACGTACGTACGTGCCAAATATTACATTGATAATTATTAGGCGGTGTATACCTATGTACATACGTAAACAAATAGTTCATTAGGCGGCGTATAGACGGTGTATACCTTCGCACGTACGTACGTAAACACATACGTACGTGCGTACCTGTTATTTGCGTGTGTACATCATACGTGAATAATCAACAGAAATCTTCAAAATTTCGAATTTGTGAGAATTTGAAAAATTTTTAGAATTGGGATTAATTTAAAAAAATTTAGTGAATTTAATGAGATTAGAAAATTTACAGAGTTTTCACAATTTAAATATATATAAGGAGATAAGGAGATAAAAGTACACAAAGTTAATTTTTCGTTTTGCACAACATGGAATCTGAAATTTTGGTTAGCCGGGGTTTTTTTCTCCATCAGCCCTATCGGATAATTCCGGGAAATAAGGCTTTCATCGAACAGGGGTGAACGTTCCAATTATGGAAATGACGATCTGATTGTTACACAATTATTAAAGAAAATTTTTTATACGTTTTACAATACTTTTTTCGAAAGCTCGGGTAGATTATCTC